GGCGCGACGGAAGGTAAGGAGATCCGGAATCGTCCGAATCTCGGGGGGTAGTTCATTCCAGAGGGTAGGGGCACCCACAGAGAAGGCCCTCCCCCTGGGGGTCGCCAGCCGACATTGCTTGGCCGACGGCACCCTGAGGAGACCCACTCTGTGGGAGCGTACCGGTCTGTGGGAGGGAATCTGCGGCAGAAGGCGGTCTGATGACTGAGGTCAAGTACATATAAGGGTGCCATAAGGAAGATGGCCAGGAACTATTTTTTCATTGGCACAGTAACTGGGTGCAGTTACCCAAATGTCATTTAAATATGAACTTCACTAAGAATTAGGCAAGAGTGAAGTAATCTACTTACAAGAGTTGTAGGTTCTTCATCTGTCAAGATTTTTAAGAAGAAGCTCGACAACCACTTCTCCTACTTGGGTTAATTAGTTTTCCTTCCCATTGCGAAGGTTGGTCCTCATGGACCCTCCTAATTCTGCAATTCTGGGATACTGCGACAGCATTTTTGCTTTCTTGGGCAGAGGAATGAGTAAAGGGAAGAAAATATAAGACTCTGAAGAATGTTGCAAGCAGAATATAATAGAACGGAACAGAACAGAATAGAATTCTTTATTGGCCAAGTGTGATTGGACACACAGGGAATTTATCTCTGGTGCATAAGCTCTTAGCGTGCATACAAGCAACATGATCATAACCATAAAATATAATCATCATAAATCATATGATACAACAGTCAGTGATAGTCATAGGATACGAATTAACCAATCAACATAAATCATAATAGGATACTAATAAAAACAACATAAATCATGAGATAGAAATAACAAAGTTATAGTCATAGGAAGCTAAGGAAATAGGTAATAGGAAAGATGAGAAGGATAATAGTAATAGTAATACAGCCCTACTAGGTGATTTGACATCTTAGGACATAAGATAGTGTTGTGGGAATTAGTTGTTTAACAGAGTGACGGCATGGGAGGAAAACTGTCTGTTTATGTAGGTTCCCATCCCATTTTGTTTCCTCTTAGGTTGCTCTGCTCTGTCCTCTTTGATATTCAAGGCTAGAGAACATTGTGGGTACTTAGACCCTTCCTTTATTTTCAAGAGCCAACTAAAAAGTGCCCTGTCTTATGGGCTCCATTGAGTAAAG